ACTTTAATTAATTGATTTTCATCCGCTCCCGCCTGACAACAAAACATCTTGCCTTACATTCTTCTAATGCCCTCAAATTCCTAGAAATAGAAGTATTGTTAATGACTGTTCAAACTTTCTTTACCTGATAAAATCCCCCATACACGTAGCCCTACTGAACACACATGATGCATGACGCATGCGCACGGACAGCGTCTAAAACGCGAGAACACGAGAACGCGAGATCGCGAGAATATGAAATGTCGCATTCTCGCGTTCTCGCGATTTCGTGTTTTTGTGGCCTAATTTGACAAGTCGAGATTGCGAGATTGCGAGATTTTGCACCATGTCCAAATGTCGCATTCTAGCGTTGTCGACTTTTGACAAAAAGTGCGATGTACCAAAAACACGAGAATGCGAGATCGCGAGAACGCGAGATTTTGGCCAAATCTTGCGTTCTCGCGATCTCGCATTCTCGTGTTTTGGGCATATTTACCTCGTTTCCAAAGGTCGAGATCGCGAGAATGTCCCTTACAGTATTCCATAGGAAAGGCTCATATGGGCAAAAGTCAACGAATATGTCCGCAATCCACAAACAATTACTTCATCATTGGCGAACATTTACCAACCCGCGACAGTCGTGTCAACTCGAGGGTTCCCCTAGCAATAAACTCGCTTCTAAATTCACAACAGTTCTACTGTCGGCTAGCCACAATGGCTAGACTGGTTCATGCCATAATAGTCCAGCAACCGAACACTAATTTAGACGGGCCGACCTTGTGTTTATGGTCTGGTGAACACAGGTCAATGGCCGCTCATTAACTCAAGATTCACGCCCCACTGTTTTGTTTTATCTCACTATTCATTATATTTGTCAAATTCAACTGAAACCCGGTCCTGTGTTACACGCATGGCACACGCGTGTGCAACGAGTGACCCACACCAACGGCGTTCAACCCGTGTGCAACCCGTTGAGCAACCGTGTCACATGCGCGTTGTTAGGGGAATGTTAGGGGAGTAGTATACATACAAGTATGAGGTAGCGTTTATACAGTGGGGTTTATACAGGGTATGGTTACAATGGACGGGAGGAGGCTGTTATGTACACAATGCGAGTGATATAAGGTAACAGATCCTTCAAGTTGAAGCCAGGAGTATAAACAAGAGGATTACGACTGATTGAAATCTTAGATGAGTTAGAGGTAAGCAGGAGGTGTGTAATATCGTGGATGTACTGGTACAGAAAGAAAATAACAAGCTCTAGACCAACTGCAAATCAAACCACACAGAGTAGTACCTTCACCACGCCTCCAACCATCCACCTCAAAATACGATAGGTATCATCTCAATCGTATGTTCATCCTCACTTAGTACTCCAACTTCTAAATGCCTCTCAAAGAATTTAACCCATATTAAAGTGTGTGCCGGGAATATCAATCGTCCCGACATTGCCGACTTGCCTCGCACTTTGTGCTGCACCTTATTAAACTCAAATAGTTTAAACATGTTGTATTCAACTTAACTTGAAAGGGATTGGTAACCAGGCCTAACTGAGTAAGGATAAGAATTTATGGATGAAAAACTTCTTTATTACAATTTAGAGCGACGTTTCGGTGTAGGTTCTAACACCGTTATTAAGCAAGCATCACTTATTATTCTTGTATATGGGCTACTGGCCTCATGTACAGAAATAAAGAATTGAATTGAATAACCCGAACACTGCTTTAAAAAAACAAACTTGACACATACATGTATACCTAACAAAAGATGAATTCATCGGATTCATCGCGGGGTGCCGGTAATATTAATAGTCCCAACATTGCCGACTTGCCTCGCACTTTGTGCTGCACCTTATTAAACTCAAATAGTTTCATCATATTTTATTCAACTTAACTTGAAAGGGATTAGTAACCAGGCCTAGCTGTCTTATGTAAATACCGCTCCCTGACATAAGTAACATTCATATTAAACTCAAATCAATATCTTCATACATTATCTCACATGGAGTTGGGGATTTGTTAAACAGACTGAGACACCCGACTGAGATGCATAGTGTTTTTGTCGCTGAAAGACAGCCGATCCAAAAATATACAATTCCAGTCATGTGTGTACAATTCATATTAGTTATGAGAATATGATCCTTGTATAACCCGAACACACTATGCTGCTTGTAAACTATTTCTTACTATAAGTAAGACTACTCCAAATGCTATGGTTTGGGAAGAAAGTGGAAGATACCCTACATGTTATAATTCTGTATTGAGGTGTTTTGGATAAGGACTCTACATATGTCAAGCAGGAGATATACTCGGAAGGCTGATGAAATGCTTTATGTCCTTGATTGTGCTAATCGTCATACGTTGACTACTTCTGTCAAGGACCCGTGAAGATTCCGGGGTAGAATAGGTCTTCAGCAACCCATGCTTGCCGTAAAATGCGACTATGCTTGTCGTAAAAGGCGACTAACGGGATCGGGTGGTCAGTCTCGCTGACTTGGTTGATGCATGTCATCCATCCCAATTGCGTGGATTGATGCTCGTGATGTCAATCACTGGATTGTCTGGTCCAGACTCGATTATTTACAGACCGCCGTCATATAGCTGGAATATTGCTGTGTGCGGCGTTAAACAACAAACAAACCAAACCAAACCAACTTCTGTCAAGAGTGTGTTGTTTAGTTTCGGTTTGCTTGGATCTTTTAGGAAGAGGACAATGTCCAAATAATTCTGATGGATTTTAAAAAAAGAGTTAGAGATTTGTTAACTCAAAAATGGTTAAGTGGTCAACAATCTAATAGTAGGTATGATTTATACTCGGCATTTAAGTTATGTTTTTGCTCTTATATTATATTATATTATATTATATTATATTATATTATATTATATTATATTATATTATATTATATTATATTATATTATTCTTGTATATGGGCTACTGGACTCAGTACAGAAATAAAGAATTAAATTGAATAACCCGAAAACTGCTTTAAAAAACAAACTGACACACATACATGTTTACCTAACAAAAGATGAATTCATCGGATCCAGTACATGACTGAGTGTCGATAAGCACGTTTATCCAACCGTATGGGCCATGTTCATCCAATCGCATATGATATTACTCTCGTATTCCTAGCTTCGCCTATTATATGTGTGTAGCACATCGGACACAAATGGAACAACTGTTATCTTCCAACATTTATTTAAAGCCATGGCGATTAATATTGCTGGCGTTGTCGTAGTCGTTATGTGTACGTTAATGTGCCGGGCAAAAGAAAATGTACAATCATGTTTGATGGTCGCAAAAAATGAAACAAACACGATATGGTTATTCGACTGTGAAGCATTTGGTATTTATCATAGTTGTGTTTTGGACCTTAAGTTTACAGTGTTTTCAACCAAGAATAATTTTGATAACGTTTGTTATGTTTTTGTCAAATACAATTCCCAAGTGTATCTTTTCTTTTGCCAGACTCGAGTAATTTTGCAGTCCTAGCAAATTAGATTCAATACATTCCAAACAAACGTTGGTTGTCTTCTTACTCAAAGATTATGTCGTATATCAAATTAACACTAACGACACAGAGACAATGTCTCAGTTGTTCGCATGTGCTTGATTTAAAGTCAAAACGGCCACAGGAAACGGCCACGTGACCCTGGAGAATAATGTCCGTTTTATACACATAATTGACAGATACCTTTTGTGTACTATATAACACTCTATCACATAAAATGTCACAGGTCATTTATTAACGTACTCACTTCGAGTTTCAAACACGCGGAACAATGATACCTTTTGGCAGTTTTGATATTTGGTCGATCTACATGTACATGTATTTTATTAGTTTAGTCCTGGCACACATTGTTTGTAACAAGGCAAATGTTTGCTGTGTAATGTTTGACATATATCAAGTCTTATCTACTTTTAGATAAGTCTTTAGACAAATAGGTTCGTTACCTATGTAATATAAATGACTGTGACTACGTTTCACGTCTCCCTTTATTGCCACTAACTGTTACGGCATAGGCATTATGACGACACAACTACTGCTGTTGTGCGTCGCCCATGACTACGTTTCACGTCTCCCTTTATTGCCACTAACTGTTACGGCATAGGCATTATGACGACACAAATACTGCTGTTGTGCGTCGCCCATGACTACGTTTCACGTCTCCCTTTATTGCCACTAACTGTTACGGCATAGGCATTATGACGACACAAATACTGCTGTTGTGCGTCGCCTATGACTACGTGTTGAATAGCGATAGATCCCGTGTGCCCAAATATATAAATATAAAAGAGTTTTGACAAGCAGACATATGTGGACTGATATATTGACTGCTACCTATTAACAAACTGTGAGTTAATTCACTGAACACCCAACGGGCTTAGACAGGGAGAAATAAACACTGCGGGCTTAACCCTAATGCATGTCTCTTGGACAATAAGATATACGAAAAATGCCCGAATAGCAAACCAGTTGTATAGACTAAAGTCTCCGTCATTTTGGCTGTCCAAGGAAATACTAGGCTTCCCCAAAATACAAGGTACTTGACCTACGGAATATTTAGACAATCATTTAGAAAGGTACTTGACCAAAAGAGTAACTTGACTCCCAACCGAAAATAGGTACTTGGCCTTAACTAGCATTTATCACCCCAAACTGGCTCCCACAGGAGATATTGCTTGGATGGGATCAAGCGATATCTACACTGAGCGAAATGCATGGGTCTTGCATAAAAGTCAACTTTTGCATGGAATGCATGCTTTTCTGTAGCAGTTGCGTTTTTGTGACTTGATTCCATACATGTACTACAATATTGAAAACCAAACTTTACTTGTTTGAAAAAAACACTAAAATATTGGTGTCACAGGAACTTTTGTTGTTGAGTATATATGGGCTACTGGCCTCACCTGACACACATACATGAACACCCTTACAAAAGATCTATTCATCGGACCCAGTACATAGTGACTGAGTGTAATTCAGCACATGTTTATCCAACCGTACAGCCCATGAATATCCAACCGCATATGAGATTACTCTCGTATTCCTAGCTTCGCACATCATATGTGTGTAGCATAGCGGACACAAGTGGAACAACTGTTTTATTCCAACATTTATTCAAAGCGATGGCGATTAATATTGCTGGCGTTGTCGTAGTCGTTATTTTCTACATCATCATCCTCGGCGTGGGGATCATTGCTGGGCGGAAAAAGACAAAGACAAAAACAGCAAATGAAATGTTTGTAGCAAACAGACAGATGGGATTTCTTGTTTCGTTGTTCTCACTAACAGGTAAGTGTTCTAAATGATACTGAAGTGCCGGGCAAAATAAGATGGAGACTCATGTTTGGTGGCAAAAAATCAAGCAAACAACAATAGTTATTTGATGGTGATGCATTTGATATTTATCATAGTTGTGTTTGAGACCTTAAGTTTACAGTGATTTGTTGACTGCTTTCAACCTAGTAACGTTTTGATAACGTTTGTAATGCTTTGGTCAAATACAATTTCAAAGTGTATATTTTCTTTTGCCCAGCAGTTTAGACTCGGGTCATTTTGCAGTCCAAAATGAGATCAAGCGATATATACACTGTGGATATCGCTGCAATGAAATTACATCACAATGCTTTGCAAACCATTGTGACGTCATTGGTTACCATGACGTCACAATCAAATGACATCACTAATGGCTCTGCTACTTAAGACACTGAAGACACTGCTAACTACTGTCTACAAATTGAAAATGTTGGAAGAATCATGTTGGATGATAAATAAAATCTCACCCTCGTGTCTTTTGATATCATATATATCAACACTCGTTGATAAAAGTGGCAAAAACCCTCGGCAAGCCTCGGAATTGTTCCACTTTTATCAACTCGTGTTGATATATTTGATATCAAAAGACACTCGGGTGAGATTCTCTATATCACGGAAAGTTGGTTAGCCAGGGATTACCAGCAAAACGGGGTATAAAAATAAAAGCCTAGCTGATATGTTTTAGTTCAATGCCACCAGAGTACGTCAGAACAAAATTAAAACTGCAAATTACTTACTAACGAAACCTGAGTTTCGACCTGACCAAACCAGAAGCAAGACGACCCGTAAACGGTCTAGCGATACCTGGGGGTGAAGATACATGACTACGTCAAAAAAATTATACGAGACACGCGAACCCCAGAGAGAGAAGCCTCTCCAGGTCAACTAAGGGAATGCTATAGACTGGTAGGTGGTTTAACGACCCGGTTACAGAGAGCAAGTGGTCGAGGATGACATTGGGGTAAACTGAGGTTAGGGTCACAAGGTCAGGGTGACTAACAAAAAGGGTTTATATACCTCAGATCAAAATTTTCTAGGATTGCTAGTTTTACTAGATCTAGCCCTCTCATGGACCTCACTTAACACTAAGGCAGGTGAATGTATTTGACGAGTGTTATGAAGAAGAAAAAAGTGTAACTGTTCATTAAAATGAGGTTACCTCACACCAAACCCTTCGTATTGGCAGATACACTTGTAGATGGATTGATGAATACTATATCTGGAGCGTACCTGAATCAGCTGAGGTTATCTATAACAACTAATGTAGGTCACGAACAAAGGGTTGCTATTTACCAGGTCCAGGCCCCCTCCTGAGACATGTAGACGTTGGAATACTAGTGAACTGCATACGTGGGTTTGGGGAGTTGAGGCGGTCCAGTTGAGTTCTGGGGCCATTGATAGGACGCCAGCCATCAACCGTGATCAGGCTATTACATATACATGTACCTCCTGCCTACCATCAATTTATCGTGTTCTTCCTTTTTCTAGAATGGTGGATACATAAGGTATTGTGTCACGCTACAGTAGGCATCCGATACGCAGGCAGTTAAAGCCTCCATGATAAAATGTATGACACACAGTCGCGCCCTTGTAGTAGGCCCTTGAGTGACAAGATGTGGCATCTGTATTGACAGCTATAGACACACGCACGCACGCACACGCGCACACACACACACACACACACACACACACACACACACACACACACACCACCTTTGGCTTTTATAGAAGCCTATGACGCTTGCCTATGATGAAGTAGATTTGCCATGTAAGCTGCTGCGACATCTGAAAATAACAGTGAAACAAACCCGTCCCATAACCATAAGTATCGTAACAATAATCATAATCAATTATCAATGATTCCGACTACATTGTATATCATAAGCATGTGTTTATGAATCACAATCAAACAGGTGTTCGCGAAATGGTGAGCGTATCCTGCACCACTGTTAACACTAATCACAAACACATGCAAAGGCAAGCAAGTTATTTCCCTGAATGAACACGGAACACATGGGACGAATCAAAGTAGGGAATTGCATCGGCCATCACATTGGTTACAGATGCGTCAAATGTGGAAAAGTGGCTACCATAATACGTTTTGAAGCTTTCCTGAGGGCTTGAATGTACAAACAACTTCAGCACGACTCGTGGGACGCTCATTAACATCTTCGTAGAAAGAGCACGCACAATTTTACATGAAATGTCGTGAAATATAGGCACCTAAGGCTTGGGCTGATGGACATTGCTCGACATAAAGGGAAAGTGACTTTTGGAAGGTTGAAGTAATCCCTCTTGTCGTACAGTCTTGTGAAAAGTCGTTTATCTTTCTGAATCTGTTCACAAATGGACATCGGGGAAACAACAAAGGAACCAGATGATCATGGGGCGGGCACAGAACATATGTTCTTGATTTATTGCGAGAAACACACAAACACATGTCATTCACTCCACTCTGGGAACTGGACAATTATATTAATTAACATCATGTCGTTTTCGTGTGGGACACTGCATGCGTAGCTGTCATCACGTTACTGCTAAATATTGGAGAAGGAATGTAAACGTTTTGCCACATAAATATGTGTCACTTCGTATTCACATTGGCTTCTCATGTCGTATCCACGTCAATATGCCTCCTATCAGGCAATAGTTGTGTTCATTTACACATTGCTCTCATCGACCTTTTGAAAATAATTGTCAACACGTCCCATTTTAATTCTGGAAACCCAAAAGTCCAGAAACTCTACGCTCTTTGCCCAGTCTCGGTTAAAGGTATTTACAAAATTAAACATGCCGTTTTCATGGGAACATACCAAGGAAGAAAAAATGAAAAAAAAATTGTTTAAAAACTCAATATTTAGACTATGTCGCCCATGGGCCTGCCCATGGGCGAAGTCTGGCCCATGGGTAGGCCCATGGGCAGGCCCATGGGCGAGAATATGTTCCTTTACTTAAAACTCATGTTTTTGTTTCGCAAATACATTTAATGTATTCATTCAAGTATCATGACACAAAATTTAACTCATTTTAGCTTAATTCAACGATTTTATAGCGATATTTAAATATTTCGCCCATGGGCGAGAAAAGGTTTGGCCCATAGGCGAGAATATGTTCCTTTACTTAAAACTCATGATTTTGTTTCGCAAATGCATTAAATGTATTTATTGAAGTATCATGACACAAAATTTAACTCATTTTAACTTAATTCAACGATTTTATAGCGATATTTAAATATTTCGCCCATGGGCGAGAAAAGGTTTGGCCCATGGGCGAGAATATGTTCCTTTACTTAAAACTCATGATTTTGTTTCGCAAATGCATTAAATGTATTTATTGAAGTATCATGACACAAAATTTAACTCATTTTAACTTAATTCAACTATTTTATAGCGATATTGAAATATTTCGCCCATGGGCGAGAAAAAGGTTTGGCCCATGGGTAGGCCCATGAGTAGGCCCATGGGCGAGAATATGTTCCTTTACTTAAAACTCATGATTTTGTTTCGCAAATACATTTAATGTATTCATTACCATGACACAAGTACCATGACACAAAATTTAACTCATTTTAACTTAATTCAACGATTTTATAGCGATATTTAAATATTTCGCCCATGGGCGAGAAACAGGTTTGGCCCATGGGCGAGTATATGTTCCTTTACTTAAAACTCATGATTTTGTTTCGCAAATACATTAAATGTACTCATTGAAGTATCATGACACAAAATTAAACTCATTTTAACTTAATTCAACGATTTTATAGCGATATTGAAATATTTCGCCCATGGGCGAGAAACAGGTTTGGCCCATGGGCGAGAACATGTTCCTTTACTCAAAACTCATGTTTTTGTTTCGCAAATGCATTGAATGTATTTATTCAAGTGTTATGACACAAAATTTAACTAATTTTTACTTAATTCAACTATTTTACGGCGTTATTAAAATATTTCGCCCATGTTTTCGTCAGTCCCTTTCAAGCATCAACTAACTGTTTGCAAAGTATATTGTATCATGTGAAATATACTTTATATTATATCATTACATTACTATTTAAAAAGGGCATTTGGTTGGATGTTTCCTTTAGTTCTACAAATTTCACCTGTTTTACATATTGTAGCGATCTTTAATGAACCCGGCCTTACCTCTCGTAACGTTTTGACAGTTTATCATACGAATTCATGTGCGTGTACTCCAATTCATTGGAGTTATTTTCCACAACATTAAATTTTAGTTAGTTTCTATTTCATTTCCCATTTTATGTCCCGTTGATACATCACACTGGGCAATTACGTGACACTAGGTATGCAATATACAGGTACGCGTGCGCGTATTTTAATGAAAAAAACTATTCGTCTTTTATTGCATAACGTTTGGCTGAATATCTTAAATTCTAACGAAATCTCGAAATAATTATTTAATTACATGCGGTTTCGAACTGACCATTGGGAATTATGTTTCAATGCGATTGAGGAAAACGTGAGTGAATATTGTGACACTAAAGCAACTTTTAACTGCATTGTCACTTTTGGTATGAAAATGGTAACAGTTCAGAAAAAACAACAGCCTTCTTATGATAATTCTCATTAGTACGTTGTATCTAATTACAGTGTCGGCCTTATTTACAGGTGATTCTACAATACCTGCTCTCGGTCAATTACGATCTACCACACCACGCGTGAATAAACAGTTATGCAGGTGTTGCTGTGGGCAAATACCTAGCCTGAAAATGTTTATTTTTTTAAGGATACATGTTTTACAAATGTTCGTTGTTATGTGGATATATTAAGCACAAAGACAAAAAAATGTTTATGAAAGATGAATTAGTGCCTTGATATATTCATCGAGATGTGTATCATCGTTTAATGGGGTCATTCAATAAACGTATGTTTGGAGGAGATATCAAAGGAGCCGCTCAATATACACAGTGTCGTCCGGTGAACTACCACCGCACCCTGTCCATTAGAGTTATGTAATCG